CTCCAATGTAAGGTGAGCCCTTGGTGGCATGCTGTGTCCTAATATACTTGAATAAAAACATCACAACTTCCAAGATAAAGACTTTAACTTAAAAAAAAAAAAAAAAAAGTAAAAATCTTGTATAATAGACTTTTTTATAATATTCCATATAATTTTAATTTACATAATGCATTATACATTTCAATGTCTTATACTTTTATTACTTAAATTCTACAATTTTCTTATAATTTATTATAAAATTTATAATATAAAAATTAATATTTTAAAAGATAGTAATCCTAATATAGCAGTTGAATTGTTATTTTTCAAGTGTAAATCTAGAGTTCAAATTTTATTAATAGTAAAAATTTGAAAAATAGTCCTATTTCAATAATTTGTTTGGAGTATCTGAGATTATAACTCTGTAATTCTGGTTGTATCAAAACTAATTTTAAAAGTATGCAATGTTATATAAATAAATCTAGAAAGTATATACTCTAAAAAGCTCTGTTTAAAAATCCTAAATAGAAAGATAATACAATCTTTAATAGTATTACTTGTAAAAATCTTAATTTAATAACAGAAATCTGAAGTAAATAACCTGTATAGATAATAAAAGAATCTACCAATTTGGTTATTGGTTAAATTAAGTATAAAGTCATATTATATAGAACTAATTGAATTAGTAGTATAAGAGGACTTACAAAAACATACAAGGTATTAGTAAGGTTATAAAAAGAGGTATTAGAGTTGTATAAACTCTATAAGAATATAATAATTTATATGTTACTCTAATTTCAAGTTTTGGTCTTAATATAGTAATACTAAATCAACTAAAAATTGAGTAACAAAAGGTTTTGGTAATATAATAAAATTTACTAAAAATTAGCAAGCTGTAGTAATTTTAAATACATGAATGCCAAATAGAAAATCTTTTATTTAAAAGAAAATAAAATAAACAAAAATAAACAAAAATAAAAAATAAATATATAAAAATAAAATTTAAATTTAATAACCTTCTATACACTATAAGGTACAACAATAAAATCAGCTTTTAAACTAATTTTACTGTTCAGTCTGCACAGATCAGGTATAACAAAATATTTACTCTGTACAAGGATTATTAGACTTTAAAACTTAGAAATGTCTATAAAGTATAACCAAAAAAAGAAAAGCCTTAATAATCAGACTGTAAACAGCTATATGTGGTCTTTAAATTCCAATAATATAAAGCTAGTATTTGCCAAATAACTAATTAAGAAAACTAGTTATTTACTTTATATTATTATAAGAAAAAATAAAAAAATAATATAAAGCTAATATTTGTTAAATAATTAATTAAGAAAACCAGCTTTTCACTTTATATTATTATAAGAAACAAAAAAGTAAAATAAAAGAAATAAAAATAAAATATAAAATAAAATAAAAAATAAAATAAAAAATAGTTTTTTATAAATAATATTTAAAGAATAATAGTTAAAGGTTATTTTATTAAAAAGTTTTTGGTTAAACAATTATTATAAGAAGCTTTATATATATATAAAAACAGAATTTCCAAAAACTATTAAGGACTTTTAAAAACTATTAAGAACTATCCAAAAACTGTCTTTTAAAAAGACAAAAAACCATCCTTTTTATAGCTTTTATTCTAATAATTGATTAGTTTTAGAACTACCATGTGTTATAGCATCATTTTGGACTATATAGATGTTCAAAATATAGCAGAAATTAAAAAATTCTATGTATATTTTGCCAATAATGCTTGTGCACAAATGATAAACCAATCTTGTATTTTTCTAATTTTACCAATGCTTGGTACTCCATTATACAATAACTTATATATTAACTAAAAATAAAATAAATATTATTGTATAGTCTATATGTTTATTTACAAAACACTCTATGATCATTTAGTGTTCAGAAGTCTTTTTAAAGATTTTTTCCTAAGTACAACTAAAAATAACTATAGTAGTATATAGAAATTATATAATAACATTATAGTAAATATTGTATTATAATTAATAAATATTAATTAATTATAATTAAATTAATTGTTCCATTATTTTAGAGTGTTCTGAGATACCTGGGCATCTGGAACATGACCTGGAACCTTTGGTCAGGACTAAGAGCCTGCAAATTACCTATTTTTGAAGCCTGGCCTGGCCTGCAATTAGGGTTAAAAAATTTTTTTAGGCCTGGTCCAGCCCACATTTAGGGTTACTATTTTTTTGCCAGCCCGGCCCGGCCCACATATGTTAAATTTTTTCTTCAGCCCAGCCCGACCCAGCCCAGTCCACAAAAATTTCTTATATAATTTTACAAATTTTCAGGTCTGCACTGGCCTGCAATTATAAAGTTTTGCAAATTTTTCAGCCCAGCCCAGCCCACAATTATAAAATTTTGCTTTAGGCCCAGCCCAGCCCACAAAAATTTGCAGGCCAGGCTGGGCTGCGGGATGCAACACAGGCCTCTAATCAGGACCTTTGTAATACTAAACAACTGTATTTTTAAATATTCTAACAACTATTAGCTAAAATAAAATACTATAAGAAATCTACTAATAATATAAATATTAATCTATTAAATAGGTAATTAAAACTAATAAAATAATCTATAAATTATGTAAAAATATTAATAAAAATATAAAATATAATATAAAGCTAAAAATAAATATATACTAATATAGAAAAAAAAGTAAATTCTATTATAGTAAGTTTAATATAAAGTTAAAAGATCTCTATATAAGTAAACTGCTTTAAAGATTTAGTGATTATAATATATTTGCATTAGTAAAAACTGATGCAGTTGATAAGATAAGTAGGTGAATAAATACAAAAATTAGAGTGTTTAAATAAAAGACTTCTAAACAAGTTTTAAATATGACAGTTAATATAAAACCTTTAGATAGACTACTTAAATTAAACAATAACTAATGTTGTATAAATGGCTAGTTGTACACTCCTTTTATAGTTACTCTTTGTGACTGTTGTAATATAATCACAAAGCTGAAACATACTATCAATAAAAATTTAAGTTACAAGTACTTATCTTTAATATTAAATAAAAAAAATTTAATCTTTCAAAGATTTATTTTTTTGTTAATTTGTTTTTTGTTTGCAGTACCAAGCCTATTTGTATTATTCAGAACATTCGACTTAATGTTTATTACAAGTACAACTTGTAAATATAATAAACAGAAGAATCAAAAATAAAGAATCAAAAATAGAAAAAAACCAAAAATTTTATTAAAAGAAAATTATTATAAAAAAAAAAATTACAATTGTAAACAGTAAAGTTTAAAACATATAATTTTTTAAGTTTGTAAATACAATCAACTCTCCTTAAGGCAACCTCTTTCAGTACAATATTTTCTTAAATGTAGTTTTAAATTTTAACTCAAGCTGTATACATTTGATTTTAATAAATATAATTTTTCTTAAATTGTTCTTTAAATGCAAACTGAAAAAAATCTAATTCTAATAAATTGTACTTAAAAAAAAGTTAATTGTATAAAAGACAATAAAGTCAAAATATACAAGAATGTTTTTCAAAAGAGTAATAAGAATATTAAAAAGAACAATTTGAAAACAAAAAAAATAATAACCATTATTATAAATGACCAAGATAATCTAAGTATAAAAAAATGAAAATCGAAAATAAACCTGAAGGTCTTAATGAAAGAAGCACTAGAAATAATGAATGTGATAAAGTTGAAAGAAATGCATTTAAGCCTCATCAAAATGGTAAAAATGATATGATCAAACGTTACTCTAAAAAAAGAATCGAAATTAAAAGAACTAAACAAGAAACAGCTGCTTTGTTATTAAAAGGGTTTCACGTAACTGCGTTGTGCAGCTAATTATTGACGGCATCAATTAGTCAATGATCGACATAATCGACAAGGACACGAACGAAAAAATTTTACGTATATAATGTATCTCCGCAAGTAAAAGCAACTACGTATTACATTTATTAGCTATAGTAAAAAATGAATCATAAACTCATTTTTGTAAAAATGTAGATCTATTGACGGCAGCACAATGCTCACGTGATAAATCCAGCCAGTGTTGTGCATATACCTTGTCCGTAGATTTCCCTATTTAAAAACAATTGCTTATCACAAGTTGTAAAAACTTAGAAATTTTATCAATTGAAGGATTTCTTTTTCAAACTTAATACAACTAAATAATAAAGCATGACTGTTCGCAAATAATCGCTGCCGGACACATCCTTTATTTACTTTGTATTACAAATATATTACTGTAGTAAAAATTTTGTCATTTATGAAATTAAAATTATTATATATATAACATATATATTATATATATTATACAAAATAGTGCATTGCAATGGCAAAAAAGTCCTGTGCTAAGCGCTACCGGAATTTTCTTTATTTGTTGGAACCTATAACATTAAGAAAAAAATTGCATAAAGCATTAAATTTTTTATTGTCCCAAATAACCTTAAAGTAACAATGTTTCGCCTTCAGACAATATATGATTCCGGATAGGCCAGTTTCACCATTAAGTATCGAATTCAGAAGAGGGAGACCTTAAAATCATCACACAGCATAAATTCAAAATGTATTTCATGGTAAACATACCATCTTTATTAAGAAGGAGACTTGGCAGGAGGACGAGGCACATTACGCCTATCACCACCTCTACCTCCACGTTGTGAATTCATCCCGTTGTGTGTATTGTGTGGAGCTTGACCATAATTACGTTGATAGTTGTCATAGCTCTGCCGATTGCGGTATCGGGTGTTATCGTCCTTGCGCCGTTCTTGTCGTTCTTCAACTACAACAGTTTCATTTCCAAAACCGGGAACAGAAATCTGTCTTTGCTGGAGTGCTCGTTGATATGCATCTTGAGAATGGAATTCCACAAAAGCACATGACTTTATCCAACAATCCGAATGGATAATTAGAGTAATAATAATTAAAGAAAATTAATATAAAAGTTTTGTGAAAGATACGTACCTTAGCGGGTACAACATCAAGATTTTTTACAGGCCCGAAGTTACTAAACGCGTTCCATAGTGCATCATGATCCATTCGCTCATTACCAACTTTAACATAAAGGGAAAACTCTATAAAAACGGGGGTTTTTTCATTAAGCATATCTCAATACACTTGGTTTCAATTAAAACTGCATCAGGGTGCAGTCCAAATTTTTCGAAATAGTTCTAATCCAAACACCCAACCCTAATGCTAATCAGATAAATCATTCTGGCATATGTTCGGACTGCTCCCTGCTGTCGTTTAATATTCATCACACAAATACCTCGGTTAGAATTCCGATCTCTTGGTGCCTCTCGAGCATTTGACACTTGAGGTTGCGTTCGTGTTAGAGATGCATGGATAACCCGACCTTTACTAGGTTCGGCAAGTTGTGAGGTATCCCATTTGCTACTACCACTGGCTGCCAAAGTTGCCCAGGAAGATGCTTGGGTTTTTGATGGCGATTGTGTTGGTGACGTTAGCTGTGTAGTGTTAGTAGATATCTTTGTTGTTTGTACAGTGACTTGTGTAGCTTTCTCACTTGGACCAGATTCTATTGATTTCGATTCGTTGTCCGCAAGCTCTTCTGTAACAGAATTTGGTATGTCTTCTGTTTCAGATTTTGGCAATGCAGGAACTTCTGGCACACCCACTTTCGCTGGAATGTCGGAAGTAGTTTCTTCAATTACTTTTGAATCTCGGCCTATCTCTTGAGTTGATTCATCTGCGAGGGTTCCTGTTGATAAAGTTGAAACCGAATCATCGCCATTAAATTTTTCCTCAGTTATCGAAGATACAACGTCATCAATATATGTTGATCCTTGATCTGTCTGTTGTTGTTTAACGACTTCATCAGCTTCGTCTTTCAAATAGCGAAATATGTCATCCGAAACATAATAACCCCCTGGTTGCGTGTCAAGAACAATGGTTTGAACAAATTTACGATATGCTTCGTCTTTGTTGGAAAATCGACCAGTAACTTGGACAACCACTTTGGTATCAAAATCTAAACTATCGATATTGGTAATATTTACATTCGCATCTTTCAACTGCATATCAGCTATGTTTTTTTGGATCTCCTAAAGTGTAATCAAAGATTTAAGTGAGCATTGGTAAGATGATCTCTAAAGAATTGTAAAATTGCCCGCACTAAGTAGTTCGCTGAATTTATCACAAACTGTTATTGATCTTGTGATATCTATAATATGATGTTTACAACTAATGTCATGTTATGTTTTTGAATACGAAATATTAAAAAATTCATCCAATACAAGGCCACAGCCATCTTCAAGCTAGCAATTGTAACAAAAATAAAAACCCGTCTCAATACCTGAATTCCTTTGCAAACCTTAACCTCTTCACCCTCCAAGCCGCGGATAAGTCTGGAGTTTTTTTTATAGAAAAGAAATAAATCCTCCGGTTTTTCGTTGAAATATTTGTAATACTCTCGCACGAAATTCCAACTAATTTCCTTCGCCTTCTGGTGGGAGTTATCGTTTGAAGTAGCAGACATTATGCTTCACAAGAAATCAACAACACCTTATTTTAAACAACTAAGTACTGAAAGGCTTTGTTGAAGCCGTTGAAGTATCTCGAAATTGTATATTGATATGTATTAACGTTAAAGCGTAACTAATCGGAAAGTCTATTAGTGCTCCCGTAAACTAGTTTTTTTAAAAAAAAAATATGATGACAGGTGACACTATTCCTCAAAAAACGAATCATAATTCTCCAATCTACTTAGTTTAGTGGCTGGTAAAATGCGTATTTTAATATTTGTTACGGCTGATGCTAAAATTGGATTTTGCCGTACAAAATATATTTCTCAGTATAACCCGACTGGATCAAAATTTGAAATTTCTTTATAACAATATAATAAGATTTTTTTTTTTTTACTTAGATATTTAAAATTGTTGATATAGTTATAAACAAATATGATTGGCTAGATTATTTATACCATGTTACACAGAATCTAATTTGAGCCAATCAAATCAATTTATTTTTTATTTTTTTTCTTGCTATCAATTTTAATTAAGATTTTTTTATGCTGCTTTAATAAGTGTCCAGAGACAGTTTGCCATACTGGTTGAAGTAATATCTAAATTCAGAAGTTGTATTAGACTAATCTAAAAAACTATATAAGAATAATTTTACTTTTTTTTTTAAAAAAAAAGCAAGAACTTGCTTCAGTTTATTGACATTTAACATATATAGTATATTAATAATTACATGCAGTAATATATTACTTCTAATAAAACTAAAACTTAGGTTATTTTACTTACAATCTATACTTTGCTAAACAGAATCAAAAACCTTACTTAGTCTATAATATTGTCAATAACAGTTAGAAGAATATTGTGTTTTTAAAATAATAAGATTTATTTATTAAATTTTTTTTTGTTTGATTAGTTATTGTTTCTTAATCTATTACTGTTGTATATATTGTCTACTTATTTTTGTGTTTATGTTTTGTTTTTTTTTCTTTTTAGTTTGTTTTCTATATTCTTTTTAGTTTTTTTGCTTTAAGTATTGTTATAGGTAAAAGTCTTCTTAATTTTCATACTATAATGATGATATAGTACAGGAAATCCCTTACAGATATATGTGGTGTCCAAGAGGGAAGTATAGCTTTTGTTAAATGTTGTCAAAAAACTATATCCTTTTTTGAAATAGTTCAGAAAAGGTAATGCAATACTAATAACTTTATTTTATTTCACTAAGAGAAAATAAATCTTGCTTGTAAAAATTACTTTTTTTTTTAAATATTAGCAGTAAGGTCATGTCTTTAACTTTATTGAAATTCAATTGAAGTTTTTATAAAAAAAAGCTTGCTTTTAAATTATAGATGAAGAATAAAGACTTAGACATATAATCTGTGACCTAAACCTTCTATAAAAATTACTCTAGAAGAGGAGTATCAATATAATTTATAGTTAAAAACTGTTTATTAAAGTAATAACAAAAAAGGCTATTTTTAGGTTTCTGTTCCTAAAAAATCTTAAGATGTGTTTACAATATTAAAAGAAAGAGGAGTGTCTGTTGCTTAATTACACTTAGGAAATTTAGCAAGGTTTATATATCTGTAAGCTAAGCAGCTAAGCAGTTAAGCGACTAAACAATTAAGTAACTAAGCAACCAAGTAACTAAATAATTACTAAGCAATCAGAAGGTTCTAGCAACTAATAACTAATGATTACTAAGTGACTAGTTACTAAGTTACTAAGTGGCTAAGCAACTAAATAACTAAGTAACTAAGTGATTACTAATTAACCAAAAAGTTTTTTGTTTTTTGTTTTTTTTCGATATTAAGGTAACCTTTTTGGTTTGAGCTTTTTATTAATACTTATAACAGATATATGTTTTATATAGATGTATATATAATGAACTATTAGACAAGTATACAACTGGTTACACATATAATTTTTCTATATTACCTATTTAAAGAATCTGTCTAAGGGTTCCTTACCAGTTGCCATATCTAATACCCCTGCTTAGGTGTTCCATTTAAATCCTCTGATCTAACCCTAGTATTAATTTTACCAAATCACAAACTCAGATCTATTCACTATCAACCATAAGACTATAATCTTTAGACTATTTTTATCCTCGAGATAAACCTACCAGAGCAAGCTGTATTCCCTTTTACTACTAATCTGGTTTGATGCTATGGCTGAGACCAACACTTGCAGTCAGAGTTACCTCTTAAACTGCTATTATCCTTGTAAAGTTTATCCAAATCCTGATATTCATCTTTCTAACTTCTTCATCATCATCCTCTACTAGTTGCAACTCAGAACTAACCAATTTATCAAACTTCCAATTCAGATGGCCTAGTATAGTATACTTATATATTCTTTTCCTTCAGCGATTCTGGTAGCCTGATTGGTCATATGCTTCTCTATACATCTTTGTCATCTGGTTTATCTAATTAGTTCTTATAAAGGTGTTTTATGGGCTTTCATCAGTCCAATAGCACTATCGAAAGTTTGTGATACCTCTTTACTTAGGATTTCCAAGTAAGTTTCTGTCTCTTCAGTTTCTTAGCCTTTTATGGCCAGTGGTCTTATCATGGGTTTGCCCGAAGCCTTATATGATACCAGTTTTACATTCCTCTATATACATGTACTGTGTAACATTATACTTTTCATAGATGCCCTGAGCTCCCAATATCAGGTAAGACCTGACTTGATATATCTAAAATTACAGATGCCCAAAACCCAACTGATCGACAAGAGACAGTTATCATAACACAGGTATAATTTCTAAAATTTATCATTCATAGGAATTGAACCTTAACCTGCCACTTGAAGGTTGACAACCTATCTACTTCACTAGATTGCCACACCCCTACCAGAAAGTTTTAACAACTACTAGTGATAATAATAATATAATAATAGAATAACTAATACTAAATAATAATAATAATAAAATAATAATAACTAATAATAATAAAATAATAATTGTTCTATAACATTTCTGTTTTCTTTAAAAATTTACTTCATAAATTCTATGTTCTAATCAATTCAAGAAGTTGAATATACTCATTATCTAGCAACTTGATAATATGTATCACATTCATATACTTCAACTGCAGGCTTATTTCTTTTAATTGCAACTTAAGGACTTCGTATATTCTGAGAGCACCTTTCCAAGTATCTTTTGCTCTTCTTGTTACTTGAGTGTTTTAGATAAGGTTTTTAATCTCTGATGGGTTATTAAACTTTGATATTATTTGTTTTAGGTAATAGTAAGCTTCAATTTTTCTATTGAGATTATGTCAAGTACATTTAGGATTGGATAAGAACTTTAAGATTCAATTAACTTGTTCTTTCTATATTTCTCTGGAAAAAGAGTTGGTTATGCTTTGAGTTATTGGTTCTGGTGACTGTTTAAAATCATTTATTTTTTTAGTTAAATAGTTAGTATTATTACTTTTTTAACTCTGTAGATACAGTACTTTATTAAGTAGAGTTTCGATTAAAGAAGGTTGTATTTCTTCTAATTGTAGAAATTCATTAATATTGAATTCTATAAGGGCTTCTATTATAAGGTTTAAGTTGATAACTTTTTCTAGTTCTTTATTACTCCAAAGAATAATATTTTAAGATAATATATCTAAGTAGTTTTGAGATGCAAAGTCCTGTTTCCAAATTTAAAAAAAGTTGTTTAAAGTGATTACTATTTCTAATTGTAATTTTAAGAATTCTATTTTTAAGAAAATTTATATGATTCAAGAATATTTATATAAATTTTCAAGTATTACAATCTTTGAATAAATTGTAATATTGAAAAATTTGTATAATATTATTGTCTTTTTCTTCAGTTTTAGAAATTTCTTCCAAAAATTCCAATTATTTGATAAGAACAAAAGGTTCTCATGTTCATTTTTCATAATATTTAGCAAGCCGATCATTGTTATAGTACTTTTGCAATATTTTTCCTTTGTTATTACAAAGTTTATAAACACTATTATTTAATTTTTTTAAATAATAAAGGGTTCAGTTTTCTTATCTTCAAATTTAGCTAATCAAGAATGTTCTATATTCTTTCTAATTATCTATACTTTGTTACTTATTTTGAATGTTTCATAATGAATTTTGGCATCAAAGTATTCTTCTGTTTCTGTTGTGATTCATTGGTCTTTTTTCTTGCATTGTTTTGCAATTCAGATGGCTTGTTAATAAGCTTAAATGCTTAGTGCAATATGCTATTTTGTAAATCATACTCTGTTTCTTCATGAGGTTTGACAAGTAATAAAACTTCAATTGAAAGAACAACTTGTTATCCATATACAAGCTAAAAGAGCATATATCTAGTTGTAGCATGCTTCTTTGTTTGATTAGCAAGCAGTATAGCAAGTATATATAAGTCCTAGTTATTATTTTTTTTTACTTTAGTAAGTAATTTATATAAGGTTCAATTAAGACATTTAACCATTCTATTTGTCTATAAGTAGTATAGTAAAAAGAACTTATGCTTGATAAGAAACTTTTTATATAGAATATAAACAGTTTCATTAATAAAATTTCTTCCTTGATCAGAAAGAATAATCTTTGATGTTCCATGTTAACAAATAATTTCTTTAAAAATAAACTAAGCTAAGGTATTTGCTCTGGCATCAGGTACAGCACAGGCTTCTGGCCATCTTGTTAAATAGTCAGTAGCAACAATAATATATCGATTATTTTGTTTGGTAATTAGTAGAGGTCCTACTAAATCAATTCCAATTTATTTGAAAGCTTATCCTATTTGGATAGAATGAAGAGGTTCAATTCGTTTGCCTTTTAGTCTCTTTTGGCATTTCTAACATATTTTAACATATTCTTATACATCTTGATATATTTGGTTCCAATAATATTATTTAGCTATTTTATAGTATATAGCATCTGTTCCTAAGTGTTTTGCAGTAAAATGTTTATGCATCATATACAGAACAGGTTCTACTTTATTCTATTTGATAACATGAAGAGAGTACTGAGAGTTTTTTTTGTTTTTCTTGTTTAATAATCCTTT